TGTGTAAATGAAGTCTTATAGAAATCTTATATGCATATTCAGTATAGAAAGTATACCAATGTTACAGAAATCGGCGAACCATGCAAACACAAATCGAAAAGTTTAAAAAATTTTAGAAGTTAGACTATTTTCAAATTAAGTAGGTTTATTTGAAAGAATAATTTCTATCACTTCATTATATTTCATTATATTATTATTATTTATTATTATTTCATTATATTTCGATGATATTTAAACCAAAATTTAGTTAAATTATTAATATAAATTGTTGTGTTTTTAAAAGTCGCCTTTGCGTAATAATTTTTAAATAATTTTTTAATTTTGTTTCGGAATAAAATATCGGGATAATATAAAAGAAGTATACGGTAAAAATATAAAAAAATCGTTGAAAATTCTATTGAAATAATATCTCCACGATTGTAACGCGTTTGTAAACGAAGTATCTACGCAAGTCACGTGTGTGAGTGCATGCATGAACCATCGCGCATTCAACTGACCAGAATTTAAAGTATTTTAACAACGATTCCCGGAAATCGGATTTCGGAATGTTACTCGGTTATATGTATATCTAGAAGTCATAATATCTGATTGTTAAATGATAAAAACATCGATTTGTTTTTGCGTGATTAGCTTTATCGTTTAATTTTGAAGCATCTTCTGTACCTCTATTACGTAAATATATACTAAACACAACGCTAAATATTTCTACCGGTTTATGTGTATGTATTTGAGAAACAGAGGTTAATGAAATATCTAACCCTTCTGTTGCTTTAAATATCGATATTTCGTTCCACGATAGCTGTACTTCATTTCTTCATGGGTCAGCATTTTTGAAATAGAAACATCACTCTAACCGAAGTCATCTATAGAGAAAGAGTAAAGAAGACAATATCAAGATAAAAACGGAAGGCAAATAAATTTGATGATGACAACTGAAATTTTGCTAACGAATGTAAACTACATCGTAAGAATATTTTTGTATAATTTGAAACATGTTCATCCAAATGTTTAAGCGAAACCATCTCTGGCAGAAAAGTGGTAGAAAAGTTGCCTTAGACCGGCCAAAATATTTGGCGTCGAGTATAAACTCAGCGATAGTGTCATGCGCGTGAACCTTAGCTGTGCGAATGACAGCAGAAGATAAACGAATTATAGATTGCGTATCGTTAACGGAGTAAACAAAGACTCATGTAGCACGTACAAATTTTTACCTACCTGGGGAAGACATCAAAGAACCACGTTCTTTTGGTTTTAGGAAAAGCCACTCGCATTCCTGACATCAGAGGTGCATGCAGAACAACTGCAGCAACCTCGTACCGCGAGGCTAGATCGACCGTTGGTACAGTCCCGATACTTTGACCATACAGGATAATGTTTTCCGGGCTAATACCATACCGTGTTCTGAGAGCATGCCACGCAGCGTCAATATCAGCGTAGAGGTTCTTTTCTGATGGTTTGCCACTGGAGATTCCGTACCCCGAATAATCATAGCTGAATATGTTACAATTTATTCTGACGCCAAGTCCCAAATAAAAACTAGACATCTGTCCAATATCGGCAGCATTGCCATGAGAAAATAAAATGGTAAACCGTGCAGTAGTTGAGCACCGTACAAACACACAAGCTATTCGATTGCCTCGTGACGTTCTTGCATAGAAACCTTCTACCGACTCTTTTGCTACTTCTGTATATTGCCATTCGGCCCTCTCGGACAGAGAAATAGCAAACTTGGAACCTTCATCCTCGATAAACGTATACGTAGGCTCAGGTGGTAGAAACGCTAGTTTTGCAGCGATTCTGGACGGGCAAGGTGGGCAGCAAAAGAAGCAACACAATTCACTCAAACTTAACCCGTTCATCGTTTCACGGGGAAATCACGCACACGCCAAAACACTGTTTATCACGTTTCCTCGTCGGGTCTCCGCATCGAGATCAGAACTTTATATTAAAAGTAGTCCCACACACTGTACCTCTCCCGCTTACTAATTCAATCACAATGTCATTTATTATCGCACTCTTGTAAGAACCTCTCACGATGATTCAGCTATGACGGCTCGCAAGACGGACAATTTCTCCCCCTCCTTCTTTCTCTCTTTCTCGCACAATGCCCCCACCCACTAAACGTTGCGCACTTTCATTGTACATATTCAGGTAAAATGGGATACAAGACAAGGATAGAAGATTGTGGTGCTACTATGCTGCGTTGCTCTTTTACTCATTGCTCGCTATTGGTGAAAGTTTTAAAAACAACGGGATGATTCGATATGTAACGAAAAATGGTCGTGTATTCAAGCATCGCTTCCAGGATACTGCCAACATTCTAAGCAATGCCGCAGAGCTTACCAACGATACATAGGTATACGCCTTGTGAAGGTTACTACATCTAGTAATTCTTCGTATAGACCAGCGAGGTCCGAAGTTATCTCCCGGGAAACAAACGGTGTCCCCACCTATAGTCAGTGGTGCTTGTACGGCACGATAGTGGCGGTCCGCAACGATCGCAACAGATACTCGGGAACTCACACGCGCGTATTTCAGATCAGTATATATTTTTTCCTTCACATTAACAGCCCAAAGTTTTCGTTTATTTCTATCATTTCTTATTTTCCTATACGTGCTGTTGACTTACTTATTTTCTATTCCTATTTCAAATCGATCACATTATTAGTTTATGATGATACGACTATTGCACAGCGCTTTGAACAGTATATGCGAGCTAAACAAAAACTTGATGATTTTTGTTGCTTAACATTTTTTGAATCTCAATGGAAATGTAAAACACCGCAATGCATATGCTTTCACTTTCGAAGTACATTTAAACTTATTAACACTAATTGTACTGTTGCATGCAAGAAGAGCCTCAGTGGCAAATATCGATTATATACCTAGCTCAGTGCCTTTTTTCACTTCAATAGCCTGAAATGTTTAGCCAGTGATACATTTTTGAAATGTGTAAAGTCATTAATTTGCTGTTGATCGCGCGCGTTTTACTTGCTTTCGTAATTTCGCGCTTTATTTTGACCACAAACGCGCTATGGGTACTACGCTTGCTACGCTACGATTACGGCGAAACACCAACTAATATTATTATGTATATGCAAAAAGAATAAGATTACTTTTCCTCCATTTTTTAACGCTCTATTTTATCTTCTTGTAATGTTCCACAATTTGATACAATTTTATATTCGACACATTTTAAACTTTATAAACCCTAATTCGGCTGAAGTCAGATGGCGCTTCAGAAGTAAACTTGTGGTGATCCATCTTCTATATATGTACATGCATGCGTAACATAAACATATACGCGCCACTAGTCTCACGCCTCACTGGTTCAAATTCAAAGCAAAGCAAGCTAACACATCTTTCCTAGTGCTCTTTATTACTAATTGCTATATTTATGAGATACTATCTGTAACCAATTTCTTAATATTCGTAAAATATCCAGGGTAGAATCTTTCATAGTAACATTATCAAGAAGAAAAGAAAAGAAGAACGGAAAAGGAAGAGAAAGAAACGTTTCGCTCCAGTTTATCTATTTGGTTTCATCAATAAGGTTATATTGACCTATTGGCTAACAATAAATCAAATGTCAGTGATGAACCCTCTAGTGGTAAACGCAGGAGATATTGTCACAAATTATGTACTGCACCCGTGCTCTTGTGTTATGAATAAATAGTAGAACTAATACAATAATTCAAATGAAGCATCCAAAAGATATGGGTATTTTTTGTTTTTATTATTATTTCGCTTCCCAACTGTCGCATTGCAACTTGAAATGCCTATTTTTTTCAGTGTGTTATATTAGAAGATAGCGATAATGGATCGTATGAATTTGTAGTTTCTCTTGAATGACATAGGAAATGGTTTTGAAAAGCTGTATATCTGATAATAAAATGGAAATAGGACAGTTTTCATAAGTAATTAAAAATTATTTACATTTTAACGTTTTAAAACAATATTGTACTGCAAAACTAGAAACGATTTCACTTGCTTTTATAGAGGGTAAAACTCGATCTTTCAAATAACGTTAGAAGATGTTATGCCGTGTGTGCTCACCGCACTAGCGCCACGCGAATCTTTCCATGACCATACTGTAGACATGAACGTTTCGTGGAAAATCGATTAAATCCAGGTATATGGTGGAAACTCGACTAGATTCATGTTGTTGCGTGATCGTTGCTGTTCGCTATAAAGTTTTGGCCGATGGCGGCTGTCAACTGGTGTACCTTAATCTTTTGTGGGACGTATTTTTATAAATTTTCATATAATTTTGAGAATTCTTATTAGTAGAAAGCTACTACATATACACATTTAATTGAATTTTCTATGAGACTGTGAAATTAACATATACTTGTATGGCATCCGGCAAAGAAACAATGGGGTAAGTGAACGTGGTAATACTCCGCACCGCCTTTTAAGGGTGTGTAATATATGTACACACGAGGCACACTTTCCACGTCGCATATGAGTACTATAAATTATCCTTAATTATTCTATTATTGAATGCTGTCGATTACTATAAAATAGGTCAATTCCATTGCGTTCACTAATGAGCTCTACTATCTTTTCCTGTCCATTTATGATCTTATCTCCGACATCATCGGAGATACGCGTTTAGGTGGGTGCGTACAAGGGAAGAGAGTCTGGACCAGAATGTTTTTCTTTTCTTTTATCTATATATAACCATACATTAGAACAGCGAAAGTGGGATAAATTAGTACCGCGGGAGATGTGTTTATTCTAGTTGTTTACTCGTGCATTATTCGGTATATTTTTAGATTTGTATAATAAAAAATTTATTCCATAAATGATTAAACTACCTATGATATTACACTTTTTTTTTCCTCCAAAAGTTTAATTTTCCATTGACGTCA